TTTTTTTTGTTTTTTTTTTTTTTTTTTGTTTTTAAAGCCCAGGTTGTTGTAGAGGTGGGCTACTAGACGGATGACAGTCACCCACAATACTCGGCCACTCGGTTGTTCAGATGAACCCCTCTGAAGACCCCACCCACCCTTCCTCTTATCCTTTTTGCCCTGGCGCACCCCCACCCCCCTGTCCTACCCTAGTGCTAACCACGCAGGACCATCACCCATTGCCATCATGGCGGGGTGACCTGACCAGACAGCGGCTGCAGGTACCAGGGCTAAGCAGAGGTGCCTACCCCCGCTCAGCCCCGGTTGAAGCAGACGTCGTGCAAGCCTGATTGCACGGGGACTTCGGGAGCTAGGTTTGAACATGCTACTACCGATCTTCATGAGGGTGCACAGTGACTCCCATCTAGCTTAGTTGTATGGTGATGATAAAGAGCTGGGTATCCTCCGTTCCTGCTTTCTTTTGAAGTGTATCCGACCTCAGGCAGCTGGCACGTCAGGATGTGCCTGTGTGTGCGAACCGGGGTTGCACAGTGTGCCTGTGTGTTCAGGTCGTTAGAATTATAAGTTGCAGAGCATATTTTGTTATATTGTGTAAGTGTCGCACATCCTCTTCTCTGTGAGAAAGAGATAGAGAGGGAGTACTGATTGTCGTTTTTGGTACGAATGGTCTGAGTCGCTGATCCCAATTGACAAAGATTAGTAGTCAACGGTGCGACACGATAATTTATATGCCATGACAGGTTCTATGGTCGTGTAGGAAAAGGCAACGACTTACACGTGGCACACGATATATGACACAACATTCATCACCACGTTTGTGCGGCTGCCCAAGTTCGCAACTATCCATCCACGACGTTTGTGAATCTGGTATGTGTTTTCCATGTCCGCGTGAAAATGATTGCACCTCGGCACCTCAATCGACCTCCGCAACCACTTCCAAAACATTTGACAACCTACTACATTTGAATTTAAATTAAAGAGAATGCAAAAAAAAAAAAATATACACACATTGGTCATCACAGGGGGTCTGATGTGTCTCACATACTCATAAAGGCAACAAATTATGACATACATCGTAGCAATCATCAAATGATTGAAATATTGTTCAATCCTGTGTCTGAACGCTGTAGTGAACCGCATGTACTTGGAGAGGCAAACAACAGGCAACATTAAATGTAACCCGCAGATGGATGTACAGGTTCTAATATAGCTACAACTCGACATATGAGTGAGAGAGAGAGAGAGAGAGAGAGAGAGAGAGAGAGAGAGAGAGAGAGAGAGAGAGAGAGAGAGGTTCACTAGTGCGGGCCAAAACGACAACAAACAGCACCGGTGGACACTGATATGGCACGCAGTAGTGAACCCGACCGCCGTTGAAATTGAGGCAGACATAGAGGGATGTACAGGTTGAGGGATGTACAGGTTGAGCTTCCCATGCGTACCACTCTATTGCTCTATGCTATGCATGTCTGTCATCATCCCTGATGTCTAACATGGTCTGTCGTGGTGTGTGGGTGTGTTTCCGGTCGCTGCCGTGGCCGAGCACTAACTATTGCGTCTCCTGTTGACAAGCCGGGGTGCAATGTCTCTCCCCAAGCTGCCGCCATTGTGCCGTGTATGAGGCAACTCAGGTTGACTCCCCATGTCAGTGACGTTGCTAGCACAACCTCTCTATTGACCAGAACAAACCATCCCTTGCCAACACGTGACCACTTTTTCCCCTTGTTGCATGCTTTCATTATGCTGGTCACTGCAGCATACTGTAGTGCACCATCTGGTGTTGCCCCCTTCATCACAACACACAGCACTTTGTGCGGATCGGGAAAAGCACGTGCCAACCTCAGAATTGCATGTGCCCACCCTTTTATCACTTGTCCACCCGCCGCCTTCAAATCATAGTATACATCATGTTCCTCGTCTTCCTCGTCGCTGCTGACATTGCTGCCGCTCACTTCCACGTCAGAAGATGATGCGCCCTCATCTTCTTCTTCTGCACTGTCTGTGTACTCTGCACGACAACTTGGCAAATCGGCCTCTTCAAATCCACGATCACACTGTTCTTTCTCCATTGTGAAAGCATTGAAGATGTTGGAACACACTAGCTCCTCTCTCGTTCCTGTCTGCATGGGAGGCACATCGACTGCCATACTGGTTATTGATTCTTGTGCTGCTGATGTCTGTCCGTTGTCTGAAATAATTGCTAAATTTGTTTTCGTGGCCATCAGCTTCCACCCTTCTTCTCTTTCTCTTTGTCTCTCAACATCATAACTTGCAAGACCGAGCCGCTCCAAAGCAGCTGATAACAACTCCCCCCACAACGGTCTGCCAGATATGATGTTGTCTTCTGTTCTTGCTGGTACAAATTCTATCAGATCTTGACCCTGCAGTGCAAATTCTGTGACTTCGTGCAACGCCTCATGGATGACG